TCTGTTTTTTCTTTTGGAGAAATAGTCTTCAGCCTAATCGATCAGATTTATTCATCATATTTTTTTTAAAAAAAAACTGTTACTGTAATTTTCTTGGTTGTTTGAAAATGTCAGATAATAAAGGAAAATTCAGTACAATGAAGATTCATGCTGGAAAATTTTGAGGCTTTCTTTTTCTGTTTAGTTTGCAGACATAACTCAAAATGATTCATCCAGAAAATACCAGTGTTTCTAGAGGTTTTCCATGTCCATTTTTGCAAGTAAGTATTATGTGTGCATTTATATGTAAACTAATACAGAGGCAGAGAAATCACACCTGGATATTTGGATAGCTTATTTACTGTTCTAAATTCATTCCAAAAAGGAAACAGCAGAACACCTCATTCATCTGGGGTTAAATCCAGATTTACATATTCTTATACATTCTGCAAAGTAGAATACTGCCTGCTGAGTCAACCTTTGCTCCTACAGTGAATCATCTTACAGCAGAGGCGGGCAATTATGGCCCCTTTACAACCTGTGGACTTCAGTTCCCAGAATTCCTAGGCCTGCTATGTCACTATGCTATGTCACTATGCAGGCTCAGGAATTCTGGGAGTTGAAGTCTACAGGTCATAAAGAGGCCACAGTTGCCCATCACTGTCTTACAGTGATATAATTGCTTAAGGCACTGCTTAGTGTAAATGAAAAATGGTTTAAGGGAATATCATAATTTTTCTAACTATAATAGCAACAGCAACAGCACTTAAGAGTTATATACCGCTCCATATGGCTTTTCAGCCCCCTCTCTAAGTGGTTTACAGAATCAGTATATTGCCCCCAACAATCTGGGTCCTGATTTTATTGACTTCAGAAGGATAGAAGGCTGAGTCAACCTTGAGCTGATCAGGATCAAACTTCTGGCTGTTGGCAGAATTAGGCTGCAATACTGCATTCTAACCACCGCACATTCTAACCACCATGGCTCTTATAAAACAGCTATAGTAGGATTGTACAGCATATCAGATATCAAACAAAAAAAGATGTTTTGGAACACTTGAGAACAAGTAAATAGCATCTGTCAGCAATTTCTAACCCCAAATGTGACATTCACCATCCACTAAAAAGTACTGTGATAACTGAACAGGCTTAATGTGTAAAGAAATGTCAGAAACTATCAGGTGGTATTTCCTGACTAATGTTTTGTCTGATCTTTAACCTAATACTTTTTCCCAAAGTTCATATTTAATAAAATTAATAAAATTATTATTATTGATCGATTGAACACAGAGTTGAATGGGTACATGTAGGACAAACTAAGTCCCCAGTTTAAGCCTGCAAAAGGTTGCGTACAATGTATTTATATATAGTAGAAAATAAACAGTACAAAGATGTGTGTACAAAAATGTAAGCAAATATTCATTTCTATATTTCTTTAAATTAACTCAGAGGTAGATGACATATTTAGAGCAAGCAAATGTGATTTTTTTTCTTCTTCTGTTCAATCAATCCTGTCCCATGTGTAAATTAGCCTGGGTCAGATGTGGATGAGTTCCAGCCAAATTAGTTTCCATTCACTAATTGAAGACTTTTCTGACCTTACATAAAAGAATGTAAATGATGTGTTTGCTTTACATAAGGAGAAGCACACACACACACACACACACACAGAGAGAGAGAGAGAGAGAGAGAGAGAGCACAGGAAATCCCAAACAAGATCTTCATCACATCACTATAATAAATGGTATATTATTTGCTTGCAAATTGAAAGATGTACTACTGAGGGCCAAGCAGACAAGATAGCATTCATGTAATTACCAACAGCATAGAAGGTTTTAAAATACAATCTTTAACACAATCCCACTCCAAAGTTTGTCATGACAAACAGAAGAGAGTTTTAAGACTTTCTTTTGGGTCCCTGTGTAAAGTTAATCCAACCACCACTGTAAACCACTTGCCTGGAGGGTGGGAGTCCACCTCTGTTTCCAATTTATCCTAAATCCAACTCTTGGATTCTTTGGAGCATTTTTTTAAAAAATATTTGTTTATATATCGTTAACTTTTCTCTGAGAAAACACACCAACATTTCACTATGTTAGCCTTAGTAGCATTTTGCTATATGTTACAAGGAAGATCCAATCAGACAGAATTTATAAGATTTGAATGTTTTTTAAAAAATAAATAACAAAACAGAGCCCAGTGAGAATTCAGCAGAAGCAGTGTTTGTGTATGTTTAATTAATTACTATTACAAATACTTTAGAGGAGACCACCACCCTCCAAATGACAGACGGAAAATATGCCAGTCCCTAATTGAAATTCAGATCAGATTTCCCCTCCTCCTGGTTGTATTGAATTTTCCACAGATTCTTTCCCTCAATGCCAGTGTTTATTTTACTCTAATCTCCATCCCAGTTTATAATAACAATCCCAGTAAAGTTTGGATCCACATTAAGATTCTTAGTCAAGCAAATTTGTTTTGGGGCAAGATCACTATAGAACCACAAAACTGTATTTCCTGGCTCATGATTATTACACTCATTTTTCATTCCTTCCTCACTGACCTTCAGCCTTACCCAACTCACCATTATCCCACTGGTTTCCTGTTCATAACAATGCTTCCAGATCCCATTCGGTTGATCTGACTTCTAATAGTTTACTTGTCATAATGTCATAGTATCTTTCAAGGGCTATTCACAATATTTGAGTTTCATCTAAAATCAGCTGCACACATGTAGAGGCAATTTTCAACTACCGGTATCATCCTGAAGAACTTTGTGGTGTCCCCTAACCTCTTCGGATCAGATAGTAGAGATTTTGTCTCTGGGGTAGTAGAGAAAAAAGGACAAATTGACCAATTACAGGCCAATGAAAAATAACGTGAGATCTCAAAAAAAAATTATTCCCCTCAGTCCTCAACACATAACACATAACCTTCAGAAGGTTCTAAAATCATTTTCTCAGATGGTCTTCCCTGAATTTCCCACTAGATTGATGCCTAAATATTCTTCCTCTGTTAAAACAGGGGTCCCCATCCCTCAGGCCATGGACCAGGACTGATCCATGGCCTGTTAAATACCAGGCCGCACAGCTGGAACTGAGTGGCAGGTGAGCAAGCAAAGTTTCAGCGGTGTTTGCAGATCTCCCCAGGAGTAGCATCACCGCCTCAGCTCTACCTCAGATCATCAGGCATTAGGTTCTTATAAGAATGCAAAGCAAACCCTATTATAAACTGCGCATCTAAGTTGTATGCTTCTCTTCCCCCACCCCCCCACCCCCCAGGTCCATGGAAAAATTATCTTCCATGAAACGGATCCCTGGTGTCAAAAAGGTTGGCGACGGTGCTGTTAAAAGACAACACTAACACCAACATTCCAATCTTAAGAAAATAAAGATTGGCTTAAGGCCCAACAATAATTAATTTCGGAATTTTGATCTTATCCTACCAGAATTGAGCTGCAAAAGTCCAAAAATGCATTTCATGGCAGTACAGAGATTAAAAAAAATATTCTAATCCTTTTAGTAGCCATCTGAACTCTGGCCATTCAAATCTGGTTGCTTTACTTTATTATGTATTATGTGATGAAACATAACCCATCTACATTGTTTTCATTGTATATTTTACATAAAACAAATTAGGGGAGTTCATAGCAACTCAACTTATTTTGCACTTTAGTTATATAATGCCTCAAAATTGTCAGAAGGCTGTGCACTGGAAATATCTTATCTGGGTTACACACAACCAATCTGGGAATTCTTTGATTAAATAAGAACAACTTCTCCTGCTGAAGCACAAAATTTGTCCCACTTATGGTTAATGTCCATGCGTTCTTAAGGTTTTTTTCTAAAAATAGCATTTATACATAAATATATTAAGTCTTTTTCAAAACATTATTAACTCAGATATTCTCCTCCCTGTCCCCCAAGGTACTACAATAAACTAGAGATAATCTTGGGACTCCCACTGTTGTGATTTAAAAAAAAAAAACACTTCCACAGCTTTTTCCAAATGAAGAAAATAAAACTGATATGGAAGTCAGTTATTTTCTTTTACTTTAGATGAAGCAAACTATTTTATTTAGTTTTATTTTATTTATTTGTCAATCGCTTACAAGATAATAGGTATAAGTATAAACATGAGTAAGAATACAGGAAATAGGTACGAATAAACGAGGACAATAGGACAGGGTCGATAGACACAATTGTGCACTTATGCACATCCCTTACAGACCTCTTAGGAATGGGGTGAGGTCAATAGTGAATAGTTTAAGGTTAAAGGAGTAGGGGTTAGAGGATGTAACAACAGAGTCAGGTAGTGAATCCCAGGCATTGACCACTCTGTTGCTGAAGTTGTACTTTCTGCAATCAAGTTTGGAGCAGTTTACATTGGGTTTGTATCTGTTGTGTGCTCTTGTATTGTTGCGGTTGAAGCTGAAGTAGTCATTGACTGGTAGGACATTGTAGCAGATAATTTTGTGTACTACGCTTAAGTCCAACTGTAGCTGGCATAGTTCTAGGTTGTCCAAGCCCAAAATTTCAAGCCTGGTGATATAGGGTATTCTGTTGCGAGTAGAGGAGTGTAGTACTCTTCTCGTGAAATACTTCTGGACTCGCTTAATTCTATTAATGTCTGATATACAGTGCGGATTCCAGACAGATGAGCTGTATTCGAGCATTGGTCTAGCAAAGGTTTTGTATGCCCTAATTAGCATGGAGGAAAAGCTTCGTAAGATTAGATTTACAACTCTTAATGCCTTTTTGACAATGCTGTTACAGTGAGCTCTGGCGCTTAGGTTGTTTGATATGAGTACTCAAAGGTCCTTGACAGAGAGAGGATCATCAATGAGGTCATATCCACCTAGCTTGTATTTGGTGAACTGATTATTTTACCAATGTGTAGGACAGAGCATTTGTTGGTCGAGATTTGGAGTTGCCAATTGTTTGATCATTCAGACACATAATAAAGGTCACTTTGAAGGACAGCAGCATTGTCAGTGGTGTTGAATAGTTTTACATCATCTGTGAACAGGATGCAGTTGCTTATAAGGTGATCGCAAAGATCATTTATGTAGCGTATAAAGAGTGTGGGTCCTAGAATGCTGCCTTGGGGGACACTGCTGTTAACTGGAGCAGGGTTTGATATAGCACTCCCTATTTTTACTATTCATCGCCTGTTTGACAGGAACACAGTAATCCATTTATGAAGGGATCTGGAAATGCCATAAGAGTTTAGTTTTAATAGTAGTATGTTGTGTACCACAACAAATCAAAGACTTTGCAGAAGTCTATGTAAATTGTGTCTATTGCTTTACCCTGGTCAAGTAGAGTAGTCCATATGTTTTTGCAGTGTAGGAGTTGTAGATTGCAGGACAACTTTTTCCTGAAGCCAAGTTGTTTTCTGGAGAGTAGGTTGTTTGACTCTAAGTGGAGGGTAATGGATTGGTTAACGACTGATTCCATTTGCACGTGACGCAACACAGTAAGATTAGTCTGTAGTTTTCAACCAGGTTGGGGTCACCTTTTTTGAAGATAGGTTCAATAAGGAGCTGGTTCTGAATGGTATGTCATATAAAATGCTTAGGGGTTCTGCTATAGCAGTGGAGAGCTTTTTTAAGAAGTATACAGTAGAAGTATCAAGAAGTATTGACCCCATCGGGGCCAATAGATAGGGATGGCTTTAGATTACGTAAAGCCTTTTCTACGTTATCTTCTATAAAGTCAATATGTAGTAGATCATTGCAGTTAGTTGTGGTATGACTAGGAAATGTGGGGCATGAGTCATTGCTGTTTACAAAGACTGAACTGAAGAATGTGTTGAAGATGTTGGCCTTAATGGCTTCATTGCTGCAGTCTTTCCCATTTAGTCCTATTAGAGCTGGGATGATTCTTGAGTCTTTAAATTTGGTGTTTACAAAATTGTAGAAGGTGCAGATGGATTTTGTGTGTAGGAGGTTTTCCTCTTGCTTGCAGTGGTAATTGGTGCATTCTGCCTTTATCTGTCAGCATAAAGTGTTGTATTGGTTTTTAAAGTTTGCTATGTAGCTAGTTTTGTTTTTACGCCATAGCAATTTTTTAATTGAAGTTTCCTTATTGTTATGGGTAATTTGTTTTTGTTTTGGGAGGTTACTAATGGTACATATAGTTTAATGACTATATCAAGTTCAAGCAGAAATGCATTATAATGGTCTTCTGTAGTATTACAGCTAGAGAACAGAATGTGGCAATCAAGAGATGGTAGGTCGGCAGCTATGAGATCATAGTTGGCTTTTCTGAAGTTGTATTTTGGGGATCCATCATTATGATCAGCTGACCTGTTAGAACAGGACTGTCAAACTCATTGCCTGCAGGCCGGATGCATCATGCACTGGCCACATCCACATCTGGTTCAGTGAAGGGGAAATGCTACCATGACACTGCCATGATACTGCGAGTTTGACACCCCGGTGCTAGAATAACTGTACTTGTCCAGAGTAACACAGTTACATAATTTCAACATGTGCAATTGATGATTTCCACTCTTAAAATTGTCGTATTTGAAAATTACAAAAGTTCTTAAAGTTTTCTACTTATTACATCCATATTAAGTATTAGGCCTGTACAGTACTCTGGATTTTATCTGCAAAACGTGTTTTGCCTGCATAGGAATGTGACATTTGTCTGAATCACCTGAAAGCTGTTATATATCATGGTCTTCTGAAGAATTGAAGATCCTGATCTCATTGTATTGGATCTAAAAAAATGTTGCAGCCCCTTTTGCTTAGATAACTGTTCCTGCATATCTTGTTCATGGTCACTTTTCTTACTCTTCACACAGACAGTTAATCACCTGGAGATCAGAGAGACGTAAGTAGGAACTGAGGAACATACATTGTGAGGCCAAATCCATGCCGGAAACTTTAAAAGAAAGAGCAAAGGCTATCAGCATAGCTACTCCAGAGGAAAGAATAACAACGCTCCCAATTCAGCCCTGCCCACAGTTGTGGTTGTTGTAGTCTCCTCTCAAATAGAAAAAAGGAAAAAAAAAACACTTCAGTATCAGCTCTGCATTCTTCTTATTCTAGTTCCCTGTGCTTGAATTCAACACTTCGTGATTCATGAAACAAATTCTTGTTTCTCTGTTGCTATCTACTCCCATTTTTCTCAGGGCAGTATGTTCTTCTTGTCTCTTACGGCTATGATCCAGGACTGGAATATTTGCACCTGTGGTGCTAGGTTCTAAACCTCTCTGTTTCAAACTGAATTGGAACTGTAGCCTGGCTACAAGTTAAGCACTCACCTAGAACTTGTTTGCAACTACTCAATGAATAATTCTACCTGTCTTCTTGTTTGAGTTTCAACCTTATCATTAAACCTCTTGTAAAACTTGCAACTGTTGATTGCTCACTCTAGAACCGAATACTATATGAACCAGGGAAAGAAAACATACTTTCAGTGTTACAGAGAAGTGCTACTTAATATTCCTGGTATGTTCCAAAGCATCTTTTGGACCTTGAATCTGAAGTGCAGCACTGTCTGATCAAATATTATTAAAATCCAAAAAGGATAAAAAAATCAGTGATGACCTTTAATGTATACCAGTCATTACTCCTAAGCACAATCAAGAGCTACGCGAGCTAAGGACTATGGGAGATGTAGCCCAACATATCTGAAGATATCCGCTTGAGAAGGCTCTATCCCCCCCCCCATCGCATCATATTCTCTTGATATATCAAAAAATTGATCTTTTTTTATTTTGTACAAACTTGCTCACATCTCACACCTCAACAATGAGGCAAAACTTCTTCAATTATTTCTTTCACAAAATTATTCCTTTCACAAAACCAGAAAAGCCAGAAAAGATTGTATTTTCACATTTTCTTAAATTAATGCCTACTGGAGTTCTACTCTAAGGGGAAAATCCACAGTAACCTTATATCACCTCAGGCCAATCTTCTTTCTATGGTGAGCCTGAAGTTATAAAACACAGTATATTCACAGTATACCTTGTGTGGGGCCTCGCACTCCATACCACATTTTCAAAGCAGTTACTGAGTTTACTACAAACTAAGAGTATCTTCCCCACCCTGTAGTTATTGATTTATTTTCTTGCTGTTCAGTTGCTAAGCCATGTCTGACTCATTGAGACTCCATGGACCACAGCATACCAGACCTCCCTCTTCTCCACTGTCTTCAGAAATCTGCCAAAACTCCTGCCGACTGCACTGATGACACCATCTAACCGTTTCATCTTCTCCATTTTCTTCTCCCTTTGCCTCAGTCTTTCCCAACATCAGGGTCTTTCCCAATGTTTCCTCTCTGCGCCTTTGGCAGTCAAAGTATCCAGTGGTGGGATTCAATTTCTTTTTTACTACGGGTTCTTTGGACATGGCTTGGTGGGCATGGCAGGGGAAGGATACTGTAAAATCTCCAGTCAGAGGTGGAATTTGCCGGTTCTCTGAACTACTCAAAATTTCTGCTACCGGTTCTCCAGAATTGGTCAGAATCTGCTGAATGCCACCTCTGAACGTATCCGAGTTTCAGCTTCAGCCTGGTTTATTACCACTACAATTAATACTATTCAGCAAGATCCTGTTTCTGCAAAGCGCTCCGATTATTGAATCCTGCTTGAGAGTTGTGGGATGAGGAAGGATTACTCTTTGAAAAACCCAGTAGCCATGGTATTTGTTCAACACAGAAGACAAAGGATCTGCACTGAGCTTGTTTACAAGAACAATGGCTTCTATTATGAAGCCCAATGATTGCACATTAATATACACAAAGCACTTAAATTGATAAACTGATATAAAATATCTTAAGCGCAACCTTTATTATTAAATGCAAGCACCATACATCAACAGGTTGCTGAATAATACATTGGGATCCAGACATTTCATTGAAAAACTACCCCCAGAATCCAAGTTGCATGATGAAACTTATTTTATTATTCAAGCATGCTTCTAAGAAAAAGCCCTTTCATCTACAACATGCATCAATAGAACAGTTCCATCCTAGGTGCTGAAGATATTCTTAACTCACTTTCAACTTGTCAAAGCCTATGCTATTATATTAAAGAGTTATTGAGGATTCAATCATAAAGGCATTGTATCCTATTGGCTAAATGTATGTATGTATGTATGTATGTATGTATGTAATTTCAGTTATTCCTCCAAAATCCATTCCAAATTAAAATACGGAAAAGTGGATAAAATAGGGAAAAAGAGCTCTAAATAAACAACCACTCCAAAAACAGGAGAACATTTTACTTCTGAGTAGATAGATATCAAATTGTCCCTTAATGATCAGATTCTGAACAATTTTGTTCTCTGTTTTCCAAGAATGTACAATAAGCCCACAACTATTATTTGAATTTGCCAGAAGCTCTGTGGAAGAGTCAAACACATTTTCATGCACGTTACTAGAAAGACTTTGGCAGCAGCAAGTTACCTTAGCTAGATTTTTATTTATTTATTTTTGGGGGGCGGTGGGGAACAAATGACCACTAGATAGCAGCAAAGAGATACAGAAAATAACTCATATAGGGGTTGTCCGGAAGCAACTGAGGGCTTGGAGCCCATAAAACTAAGCATACATGGTGTTACCTCAGCATGGTTGAGGTGAATATAGATATTCAAGCTTACTTTATCTTGAGCTGAAGTAAGTAGATTAATATTGTGCAATACATAATTCAGCATTTTGAGGGCTTTGGATGCAGCTGACAAATTTTTAGTTTGGACTTCAAAAAAGGGGTGAAATCTATTGTTTTCTGAAACATTACTGGCCATTGACAAAATTTCAATGCTATTTGTAAAATTTATTCAAAGGATGTCAGTTGAAACATATTACATAAATTATTAAGGTGAATCAAGTATGTAACTAAAGAGTTAACACAAAATTCTTTCCTCTAAATTGATCCATAAAACTGAATGCGGTAATTTAACTATATTGTATATCTATTGTAATATATTGTCAAGATGTTCACAATTTGATAAGAAACTTCCCTCCTCTTCAACTTGTCCTGAGACAATCTGTCCCCTAAAATCTAAGTTTTTTTCTATA